ACCTGATTTTTGCACTCTAATATTTGAATACCTGATTTTTTTTATAATTTCCCATTAATTATTAAGCAAGTAATTTTAGGTCCTTCAATGGTGTGAAGGCGTTGACACAATGTGCATCTCTGCCCATGGTTTGACTAGTTTATTAGTATTTTATAAGATGAAATATCGACATCTTTGTAGATTGAAAATGAAAAAGAAAATATTGGTTAGGAGTTGATCACAAGTCACCTCTAATAATTAGAGAAAATTACAATTTTTTTGAGGTATCTAACAAATATATAAACGCTTTCTTTAATTCTAAAAAAATTATAGAGAGTCCACTTTGTTGTAAATGATAAGTTATTAGTGAATGGCTCTTGTACTCTTACAATCCTAGAAATTATCATATGTATCCATAATTCTTTCCTATAAATATAGGATTTCGGTTCTCATTATAATACACGCATGTCTATTGACTTTTATTTTGTCTTCTATTTTTCTCTCAATTCACAACACGTTATCAGCACGATAGTATAATTTTTAATAATTCAAGTTTAGTATTCTCTAGAAAAAAGAAGACGATACATCATCTGTTTTAAATGAAATTTCAATTCATCTTCTTATTACCCATAAATCGACGGAAGGTAATGCAAGAATCAATATTTTGGTGGATATATAATCTGTAGCCGTCAAAGAGAATGATTATTATGATTACTTTCATTCCATGTGAATGATTTTTTTATTGTTCGATAATAATTTTTTTATTTACATTTATGCGTGAAAGAGCTAAAAAATTTTATGATGTCCTAAATAATGACGTGCATATTTGAATATAACAATGTTGTGTCGTGTGCATTTATACAGTTATTATGACTACTTTTTATGTATCAATTATATAAATTCATGATTTACTAATATCAATTTCATGGTTAAGTATTTCTTCAATTCATTGGTTTGTGTAGACATAATGATTATTTCATTATATGCATAAAGATTACTTTGTCCCATTTGCATATCTATGGCCCCGTTTGGGAGTGATTAAAATCCAATTAAAATTGAAAATATAGCCGTTATTGGGTCTCACTCGTCTAATAAAAGTCAACAATAACGGCTAATTTTTCAATTTTAATCCGATTTTAATTTCTATCGAATACGCCCTAAAACAAGCAACAA